TAGCGTTTCGGTTGAAACTACTCAACTTTGCTGTTGTAGCACAAAAAAAGCTGTAGACCATTCATAAGCAAGTAAGTATGGTGACTCTTTTCCAACAAAACTATTTATGCACTATGAAATTTGAATTTTATATAATTTTAATGTGTCATGGAGTATTATTCTTCTTTTGATTTTTTTCCAAACATTTAAAACTGTATGAATCACTCTTTGCTCCAAGAATACACAAAAACCAGGGTCAGCAGATATACCCTATGGGTTAAATCTGGGCCCCTATCTGTTTAATAAGGTTTCATTAGAACACTGCCATGCTCATTCATTTATGGAATGCCTTTTGTGCTACAAGTGCAGAGTTGAGTAGTTGCGACAGAGCAATATATTGACTATCTGGCTCTTCACAGAAAAAACTTGGGGACTTCTTATCTAGACTTTAGAAAAAGAGGGGAGGAGGATAACTTACAAAGAAGACTAATATGTATTAATAAATGACTATATAATGGTGGTTAAAGAGGGTGAAGGGTTGCTTTTGTGCAAATCAAGGAGTCAAGAAGCAGTCATAACAGAATGGAAGATGAAGAATTTAATTTTGTCAGGATGCAAAATTCCATCCATCCAAATCAGGCAGCTAAAAGTTGAAGTTACAATTAAAGTTGGCTGAAAGTTGGGAACCCTCCTACTCTGTTGGTAGGAATGTAAACTGGTGCAGCCACTATGGAGAAGAATACGGAGATTCCTTAAAAACTAAAAATAGAGTTACTATATGATCCAGTAATCCCACTCCTGAGCATATATCTGGAAAAGATGAAACTAACTCAAAAAGATAAGTGTATCCCAATGTTCATAGCAGCACTACTTACAGTAGTCAACACATGGAAGCAACATAAATGCCCCTTGATAGAGGAATGTATGAAGAAGATGTGGTGTGTATATACATATATGATATATATGACATATATATATGATAGAATATTATTCAGCCATAAAAAAGAATGAAATAATGCCACCGGGAGATCTGATATATATAGTGTATAACAGATATATACTACTACATATAAAATAGAAAAACAACAGGACCTACTATATAGCACAGAGTACTATATTAAATACCTTGCAATAATCTATAATAGGAATCTGAAAAAGAATATATATATGTATAAAACTGAATTACGTTGCCATACTTATGAAACATTGTAAATCAACTATGCTACAGCAAGCAAGCAAGGAAGGAAGGAAGGAAGGAAGAAAGGGAAAAGAAAGAGAAAGAAAGAAAGTAAAAGATAGGAAGGAAGGAAGGAAGGAGGAAGGAAGGAAGGAGGAAGGAAGGAAGGGGAAAGGAAAGGAAGGGGAAAGGAAAGGGAAAGGAAAGGGAAAGGGAAAGGGAAAGGGAAGGGAAGGGAAGGAGGAAGAAAGAAACTGGTAGAAAGTTGAAAGATACCTAGGGTGTGTATATCATATTTCTGTGAAATTAAGTACCAGCTGAAAGATACAGGCTTAGGATTCTGTCTGATACTGTAAGCAGAATTTGGCCATCAGGCCAGCTTGTTCCTTACAAGGCTGGTTTAATGCCCCTGGAAATAAATTCAGTTTCCAATGACACCTTGAAATTTCTGCCTAATTTTTCACTGGGTTAAGATGAATATAACTTAATTTGTCAAATTTATGAACTAAGTAAATATTAAAGGTGCAGAGAAAGTGATTACTTTTTGGCACAAAATTACTAGATTTTTTTAAAATCTTTTTTTTTAACATTTTTTATTGATTTATAATCATTTTACAATGTTGTGTCAAACAAAATTACTAGATTTCTGAGTGAATATTCTAGATGAATAGTTCTGTTTGAAGGCATAATTGGTTTTAAAGTTTGAAACTTTGATAAATTGAATATTAATTTCAACACAGGCAGCATGAGTACTCCTTGACACAATCCAAACATCACTCATTCATCTAACAAACTTACTAAGCACCTATTGTGTTATCAGTTTGAGATGATGAAGATATAGCTGTAAGCAAAACAAAGCCCTAGTTCTTAAAAGAACCTACATCCTGGAGGTAGACAACTGATAATAGAAAGATATATGTTAGGTGGTAACTCTCATAAAGATAAATATTTAAAACCTCAAGTGAGAATGTAGAAAAATGGAAAGATTGCAGCTCTCCTCCTAACAAGATAAAAACTAAATAACCTACAACATTGCAGGTTTTCTTGAGTCCAATGGAGAGCTAAGGTCTCGGGGCAATCAAGTGGCCTGAAATCTAAGAAGAGGAGGCATATCCAAGGAGGAACAGGACACGGACACTGGCTCACCTACAGCAGAATGTGGGAGGAAGAGATGGTGAATGCCGTATAAGCATTTCAAAAGAAATCAGCTAAAATTTTTAGTGAATTGCTAAAGGCCAAGTGTGGGCTAGAGTAAGAGAACAGAAGTGAGAGCTGCAGACACAAGGGGAATTCACACCCACTTGTGGATGAAGGGCTGAACGCAGGAAGAGAGACTGGAGAAAGCCTTCCTTGGGGTGCAGGCCTGGAGAAGAGCAGCTGCCACTGTAGGAAAGACAGGAAGCCTTGCCAACCCTTCTGCCTAGTGAACAAAAGCCTAAGTTGCTGAGGAAGATCAGTAAAACCTGTGAGGGCCAAAGGCTCTGCATTCTGGGGGAATTAAAACCTGATACTCTTGGGGTAGGGGGGTGGAATACAGCATGGCCCATTACATAGAGGTCACCTACTGCTGGGAGAGGGACAGAACCACTAAGAAAGGCCCATCCTGCAGACAAGGAACCCAGGGCCTACCTGAGACTGGGGCTGGGCTCTCGCATTGGCCCCCTACCATCAGACTGGCAAGCACTAAGTAACAAGCAAAAGCAGTCTACTGCTGGGGGAGGAATAAGAGTGTGGAGATAAATTCCTCTGAGGTGTAGGAACACAGAAAAGGCTGCAAGATGAGGACAGAGCAGAAACATAGAAAAATGCTCTGGCATCCCAGTGAGAATCCACTACATGCTGTCTCAGTGAGATGGACTTTAAATACAAAGCTATAAACATGTTGGAAATAAAAGGAAAGAAAGATATAGCATGCAAACAGCAAGCATAAGAAAGCTATATATCTATACTAAAATCAGAAAAAACAGACATTAAGACAAGGAGTATTATTAGAGGCAAAGGAAAATAAGTCATAAAAGTAAAGCATCAACACATCAAGTAGACATAAAAATTCTAAATGAATATGTACCTAAGCTTCAAAATACATGCAGCAAAAACTGACAGAACTAAAGGGGGAAATAAACGAATCCACAATCATGACTGAAGATTTTGGCACACGACTCTCAAAAACTGACAGAACAAATAAACAGGACAATAGTACAGAAAAGATCTAAGTGATACCATCAACTACCTTAACAACGGATATTTATAGAACACTGTCCTCAAACTGCAGAATACACTGTTTTTCCTAAGTGTACACAGAACGTACACCAGGATAGAATATAGGGTGGACCATAAAATAAGTTTAAATAAATTTCATAAGAATGAAATCTTACAGATTATGCTTTCTGACCACAAGAGAATTAAATTAGAAATCAACAAATGTAAGTTATTGAGAAGATCCCCATATATATGGAAATTAAACAACTCACTTCTAAACAGCCCATGGGTCAAGAAAGAAATTACAAAAAATTTTAAAATATTTTTTAAAGTTTTTTTTTGGGGGGGAGGTTATTAGGTAAAAATATTTTAACTGAATGGAAAACAAAACACAAATCACAATTTGTAGGACGCAGCTCCACTAGTGCTTAAAGAAAAAAAGTTTTACATGTTTATATTAAGAAGAAGAAAGGTCTAAGTCAATGACTAAAATGTACACTACTTAAAAAACCAGAAAAAGAAGAGCAATTAAACTCATTGTGAGTAGGACAGAAATAAAAGTTACAAACAGAAATCAATGGAATGGAAAACAGACAGTAGAAAAATCCAGAGAAACCAGCAGCTGGTTTAGTTTTTTTTTTTAAATCAATAAAGGGGATAACTTCTATTTTGAATCAATAAAATTAAAGACACAAATTACCAGCTTCAAGAATGAAAGGAGGATCCATAACACATCCATGGGCCACTGATTTTCAATAAGGGTGAGAAGACCATTCAATGGGGAAAGAACACTCTTTTCAATAAATGATGTTGAGAAAACTGCATATTCACATACAAAAATGAAAATGGACCCCTATTTCACAACACATATAAAGGTTAACTGAAAATGGATCAAAGAACTAAATGTTACAGCTAAAATGACAATTTAGAAGAAAGTATCTGGGGAGTTTCACTGTGCCAACCGTTTGTCTGAGAAGGAACGTAAGCAGAGTTCCTTCAAAGCTGCCTGCATTTCACACCTGAGTAGGGCTCAATCAGTGGGGTTTATAGGAAGTTTTATAGACATGGCTTTTGGAAAAATATGTTAACATAAAACATGTTAAGGAAACACATGTTAAATCTGCCCCATGGACTTTACATCTGCTGCTCCCTGAGGCTAGAACATTTCTCACTTCACTCTACCCTCACTCCTCACCTCACTGAACTCACTGATTCTGATCTCAGCTTAACCACCACCCTTGAGAGATCTTCCCTGATCCCGAGCATTAGGTTAAGATCCCATGACATACTTCATAGCACTACGAATGTCTTCATACCACTAAGCACAATTATATCATGATCATTTGTCCAGTATCAGTGTTCCTGTAGGTGACAAACTTTACAAGGGCAGAGGGCCAATCTTTCTTTGTACACTGTATCCCCAGCGCCTAGCACAGAGCTGGCATAAGGGAAGTGTTAAATCAATGTCTGTGACTGAATGGACTCCTGCCTGGCCTGCACTCCCTGCACTTTCCCCACGCTGAGAATTCTCGAGCCTACATTACTGCTGATGCAGGGAATTGGAGGGCTGGCTTTCAGGCAGAGAGGCTCACATCCCACCCTCCCAACTGTGCTGGAGGAAAGAGGTACAGAAGCAGAGAGTCACCTTGTTGTAGGCCAGGCTAAGGTACCTCAGCTCTGGGAAGGGCGGGGCCAGCGTCTGGTTCCTTGCCTTCAGTGACTTCACAGGAAGAATCTTGAATATGGGAGGAAGTGCACATACCTTGCTTGTCTTAGAAAGAAAAGAAAGTCAGAGTCAAAGTGCCCTTATGATAAAGAAGGGGGCCAACAGACCCATCCTAAGGAGTGTGGTGGAAAGAATGACCGACCATTCCAGAGAGGCTTGGCCAAAAGAGACATCTAGGGTCATAAGAGGAGATACCACCCAGGGCCCAGAGTTCTGGCTCCAAGTTCTCTGATGTCACATAATGAGCTAGTTTTCTGGCACCCAAAATTCCAGTTTCAAGTTCTCTGAAGCCAAAGGATAACGCAGCAGCGAGGCAGACGTCAGAGATTCTTTGCTCTCAGTTCCCACTTTCTGCCCTACAGTGGCTTATTCTAAACTGGGCCTTCTATACAGTTGGGCTAAAATTTCTCCAGAAGGCAAAAGGGTAGGTGCTTGCATTGTTAAGGAGACTTTTCCTTATGAGGAGACAGAGAGCAAGAGTGACCTGAGCCTTGAACACCTGCTTTGTTGGGCTAGTCCACATCCTACAGTGGAGGCTCTTCATTCCAGGAAGAAACAACAGCTAAATCCTGGATGACTTCAGACAGCCTTGGGGCCTGGATGTGGCCAGTTTATCTGGGTCACTTGCAGGGTCATGGTCTCTCATCACAACCCAGCCTGCCTCTGGGTCAACATGTTTGACCAAGGAGAAAGTGGAAACTGCTGGATTAACCATGCCTAACTCAGTTCACTCACTGATTCCTTTGAATCAGCTGAGTTATATGCAACCAAAGTAAATTACCGGGAAGATGCTTGGCTAATGGGTTATCTGGACTGGGTTCAGGTAAACTAGTTTCTGTTCTAAGTTCCATTAATTGCTGTGTAATCTTGAGCAAATCACTTAAATTTCACTTGTTCATTCAACGACCATTTGTGGAACATCTACTTTTGGCCAAATATTTTGTGTCCTCTTGGAGTCCAACTTGTACAGCCACAAGTGAGACAGGTGAGTCATGGGTGAGAGTAAAACAAAAACCAGTGATGGTGCCTGGGAACTTATATGAACTTGGAAACTCTCCTCTAAAGGAGATCCAAATGCAATCTCCAAGAGGCCAGAGTGGAA